ATCATCCCACATGCTTCAAAATATGAATAGAGAATGGAGGATCTCCAAGTATTTGTTTTTATTGTTTCTCCTGTGTTCAGTTTAGGAGAAACAGACAACAGGAGTTGTTTGAAATAAAGCTATAATTTACAGTCCTAACATGCTGAGAAGTGATTAAATCTAAGCTAATTACTGTAAATAGTTTCTATAATTACTTGTGAAACATTTTACTACCTGTACATCTGTTAAATTCAGTTGAGGCCTATAGATTTTTATTTTTCTTTTAGAGGGAAGACCTAATGCCATTACTCAAGGGACAGATCATTTACTGAAGTCCTCACGCACAGCTAGCTTTTTCCTAGAAGTAGAAAGTATCTGGTAGGTCACATATGGCATCCCTGTAACTATACAGAGTGAGCCTTCCAGTGGGGTGTCTTAAACTTTGTTCAGTCAAACTCAACATTTCCACGTCGCTTCAACCTCTCTTCTTGGGAAACTGTTCCACAGCCTAAAAGATCTGTTCAGCCTGAATTTTCCTTTGCTAAACTTCATGCTATTAAGTGGGTTGCTTAGTTCTACTTGAGAGAGACAGCAAAATACTTTTAGCCTTGAATTTAACCTGACATGAACCCTGCCAACTTTGGGATAAAGTGCCTTATTCTGGCTCCCTGCATGCTAGAGAGCAAGTGGAAAGCAGGAGCAAGCAGCCTCCTGTGCATAATTCTGCTTCACCTTGGAGCCCTCTTGCTTACCTTGTATTCTACAACTATGTACAACCACTGTAAATTAGAGCAGCCTCATGCATAACTACATACTCCTTATAAGTCAGATCTTGCAAAGTAAGCTGTTTCCTGTTAGGCCAGTCCTTGTGCACGTTGCTGAAATGCTACAGATCATTATCCAATCTTACAGATGATGGGGAGAAATGACAAAATCCAAGATGAAAGCCACAAGCTGGTATGATAGGATTTCATGGATCTTACAAAGTCCCACAGGCCTGATACATTTTAAAAGTGACAGCACTTTAGAAATGCATATGGACAGATAGATGTTTGGCATCCACCAAGATATTGAGCTACTATAGCAACAGAGGTGTACAGTCCCAATGGGGAAGAGAGAAGGAAGGGGAAAAAAAGTTATCAGAAAACAAGATATCTGAAGTATTTAGATAGTAAATAAATAAGGATCAAAATGCTTTAAACAGCTTTTTAAAGTGGGTCTATATATAAAAAAAACATTTTAAATGCTTTTCCTTTGCAAATCTCTCTCATTTGGAAATCCAAATACATAAAGACATTTCTATTTTTAAAAGGAGACATATGGTACAAATTGGTATTGGTAAATAAAAGCACATAAAACTTAACTGCACTATGTTAAATGTTAGTAAAAATGACAAAATAAAATACTAGCTATATAAACTGTGCACAGGTGTGTACCATATCACAAGCAAAAAAAACATATCTTGCAATTATAGGCCTACACTATTTATTTCACTTGCCTGTAATTACATTTTATACATGTTTGTTTAGTAATATCAATCCAAGACATCATTTTGAGAATATAATTAACTGCACATTAGAACAGAATGTGTTTTACTATTTTTGTGTTACATTTAAAAACCTGGGTCTTTTGTTGTGTTTAACTGCCACCTAGTGTTAAAATGATGCAGTTTCTCCCCATAAAGCTGATTTTTTTAACTGTATTTTAACATTAAAGACAACCCATGGGTGGAGAGAAAACTGAGAGCCGAAGAGTTCAGATGTAGGTGCCTAAAGTCAAGCACCTTAATCCACACTGTGGCACCAATTGACTTCAGTATAAGCATCAATGAGACTATCACAGAAATAAATAGTGTGCTCAGAACTGTTTACAATGCTGGGTTGTAAGTACTGATGCCTTTACAGGTTCACATTATTTTTAATGTTTAACCTGTTCTATTACTTTATCAAAAATTATCAATTTTCTAATTTGAATAAATTATTATTCACCTAGCATGGAAGTAAGCATGTCCATTGTGCTGGAAGTGTTTTCTAGATATGAATAGTCCCATGAACACCCATTAATATTTACACCTAACCTATAAAATTCAAAAGAAAATGTTAAATGGCAAGTCAGTGACTGACTGACTCTCTCACTCTGGAGTGGTGTTTATCAAAATGGGGTCCCTGCAGTAAACTTTTACATGGTATGCTAGAGTATGGAAAAAGAAAGCAGTAAAAAAGAAATACACATGGCAGGAAAAATAAAATGAAGAACTACTCTGCAGTATATCTTAGGTTGTTGGAGAGGGTACAGCTGCTCATCCTCATCCCAAATGTTACTGTTTTCTTTATCCATAACAGAATAATAAGGGATATGCAACAGTATAACAAACTTTAAAAAGAGGAACATAACCCCCAAAAGCATGAGAACCGCTAGCTCAGACGTGAATTGGTGGAGAAGCTTGCAATTCTGCGGACCATACACAGAGCATTTTAGTTCCAGGCCTTCTATCTGATGCCAGTTAATTACCCGAAACCTGTAATGTGCAGAGAAGGCCCAAGAGGGCAAACTTTATGTAAAAGATAACAAATACTTTAAAACATGTCAATGTTTAGTATTGAGATTTCATGAAAAGGGGGCCAAAGAGGGCAAGCTTTCTGCAAAAGATACCAGATACTTTAAAACTTCTCAATGTTTAATATTGTGATTTCATGAAGGATAATAGAAAAAATTGCAAAGAAGCAATTGTGGTAATCTAAAGATACAGTGCAGCGCAAGACTCATCAAGGTATCTAACCTGAAGCAAGCGAGTAGTCCCATTAAAGTCACTGGGATTAAAGCATTTAAATTAGCTCTGTGCATAAGTACCTTGCTCAACTGGAGCAAAGAGACCTCAGTTCATATGTCTGCCCTGAGAGACTGCAGCAGAGATTTTTTGCAGGTGCAATGATCTGTCCATTTAGAGCAGTTTGCAGTTTGCTAATTGTTACTAATAGTTTTCTTTTGATAGGAAACGGCTTCATAATTTAACCTAAGTATAGGTTAGGTTGTACTCTGGATGAAAAAGAGCATTAACAATGAAAATCCAAATATCCAGCATGAAAGAACATTTGGATCTGCTATAAACTGAAAGAACAATTTCCCCCCAATATAAAATAATAATTAGGAAATCATGATTTCCACCTTGTTTCTCTGGCTGTGACACTTAACGAGAACAGCATCTGTAGCTTGAGCAACATTCCCTTTGCATTCTTTCTGCGCACAGCATGTTTAAAATGGGTTTATTTAAACCCAAGTTCTGTTTGTCAGCATTCTCTCTGAAAAATCCTTAAACACTACCACAAAGAAGGATCACTGCCACCTAAGGAAGAAAACTGGAATAGCTGAAAGTAGAAAAAAAGATGCAGCACTCTCCGGCCCTCATCCAGCTCCCATTGAATTCAGTGGGAGTTTTGCCACTGGCATAATGAGAGAACTGCTCGGACTCTCGCTCCCCCCCAAATAAGTTATTCAAAGGTCTTCAGCTAAATTCAAGTGACAGAGATGCAAAAGCCGTTTAAATTATGCACGAACTACACTTGTTCCAGAATGCTGTAATGGACCTGGGCAAGTTGACAACTGCCTTAAAGGACTCCTACTTAATTACTTGTTATAGAGCAAATTAATGCAGGTTTGTTGCCGAAGTACTCATTCGCAGAATGAACAACCGAGCAAGAGGTAGCGAGAGCTGAGAAGTCACGAGAAAAGAAACTTCTGACGTGCAGTAAGAAAGGCCCGTGATGGGATCGGAGAACATATCAAAAGACACTGGGAAAACAAGCTCTTTCCATTGTCCAGACCAACTTTAGAAATTACTTGCAGCTGGAAGAGCGAGTGAGTCTAGCAGGCAACAATCAGGAAGGAGCAAGCTTTGAAACGGTGCTTGGTTAAGTCTGGTTTCGACACACAAAAGAAACCAGGGTTATATTGAGCCTTTAAAAGCAGGGGGCTTATTCTGATCCCCGACGCTTGGATTCTAGCAACGTGGGGTCAGCCTCCGTAATTAGTTTTAAATATATTTTAACAGCTCGGGACAGATTCAGCTCTTGGCTGTAACATGCGCGCTTTTCCAGACGGGCAAAATCCTGCGAACGCGTGCTCAAAATCCATCCAGTTAGCAACAGTGATGCCCACGACGCAACTTGGCACTTCTGTCGATAAATAAATAACGGTGCGCCGCAGAAATAAAGACAAGGTGCTTTGACTGAATCTGATTCTCTTGTATTAGATCGACTTAAATAGCCAGAAAAAAATATTTAAGCAAGCTTTGGGGTTTAGAAACCCTTTGTCGGGTTGAGGAAGTTTCGTATATACAGATGCACCCCGCAGTCATTAAGATAGGCAATTAGAGCCTGCGAACACGAATGGCCATAAGTAACGCCATCCTTGATGGTTTCCTCAGGGTGGGGGGGAGATGCCACCCTCACAGATTCGGACACCCCCCCATGCCCCAAGCAAGCCCCTTTTCGGAAGAGGAAGGGGTCTCTCGGGCTGTTGCAATCATGCAAATCGCTGAGCAGACAGGGCTGCAACTGGAGCAGCAGCGGCTTCTAGCAACCAGGTGATGGGTCCTGAGGGGGCAACAAGCTGAGAAAGTAATGTGGGGGGCACCCATGGCAGGCTGAAGGGGAGGATCTAAGACCAAGTGTCCCTCAGACATCAAGACTCTGCCCCTCAGGGAAGGCTGTACTGCCTTTTGCACAGGGAACCGCCAATTAAGCCTCCTCCTGGGGCCAGGCCTGCACACAGCTGGCAGTGACTGGAGGAACTGCGTCAGGGGGCGGGGCTTATGACTGAGGGCGCCCGGCCCCGCTTCCAACGGTCAACCGACTCAGTCCAACGGTCCGTGGAGCCCCGCCCTCTCCTGTGATTGGTTCGCTCCCGCCTTCGCCTCCAATCACGACGGCGGCGGTGGAGGGGGCAGGTCCCCGACTGCTTGAGCCCACCCACTCGGCGGAGGAACCAATGGCAGGCCAGCGCCCCGCGTCGCGCGGGCAGGGGGCGGGCGCGGACTGAGGAAGGGGAGGTGAGCGGACTAGGCGATACGGCCGCTGGGTGCGGGGGCGGGCCTGCCCTGGAGGTAGTGGACCTTGTGCTCATGGTATCTCCCCACCATGCGCGGGGTGGTACAGTCCTCCCTCCCTGCCCCCTCCCCCCCACTTCCCCGCAGTGGTACAGCCGCGGGGGCTCGGCCTCTATGGCAAAGGCCGGAGCTTCGCCCCCCGCGCACTGGGGGGCAGACATGTGTGCGCACGCGCACTGCTGCCCCCTGACTGGCTCTGCAGAGCACCTACGCACAGGTGTGTATACTCATGCACACGATTGCCCCTTGCCTCGCTCTGTACAGCACCCCTCACATGTACCTCAGCATCCCACACGCACACCACTTCTTCCTGCCATGCCTGGCACAATGCCCCTCACACCCATCTTGGCCCTGTAGTGCCAGGCTTTGACTCCCTCACAGCAGGTTCAACAAGGCAAGGGCAAGAATATGCTGCAAAGAAAACCACGTGTCTGAATATCTGTGGGGCAGTTGTTTGCACTCCTTCCCTTTTGGGGGAAGGCTGTTCATACCCTCCCCCCTTTGAACGGAAGGGGACGTTGAGGTCTTACCCCAAAATAAGAAAGTGAATACTACTTTTTCAAATAATTGCGTAGATTTGGGCACCCTTTGCACGTGCAGCTGCAGTAGCTGAGGGCTGTAAAAATGCACCTTTCATGGGCGTGAAACCTGAAAGATTGAGCCTCAGTTCTCCTCTCCATAAAACGAGGGCAGTGAGACTTACTTGACAGCTGTTATGAGAATGAATTAGGAATGCATGAAGCACAGTACGTGTAAAGGGTCGTCGTGTTTTCCAGAAATCAATTCTGTTTTTTTTTTTCTTTGTAAAAAGAAAAAAAAAAAGAAAGAGAAATGGTGTTGTTTGCCCCTGGCCTCTCCCTAAGTCTGCCATGTTGCAGTCTCACATGCTTGAAAGGGAAGTGTTCGTGTCTGTTTTGAGAGAAAAAAAAACAAACCCTATTTTTTAACCTCCCTTTGTTTCCCTTCATAGCATGGTAAACTTGACAAGTGACAAAAGATGGCATCCTACTTAGCAAAAGAAGTTCAGCTTGCTAGAAGACATGAAGAGATGTAAGTGCTTTCAAGACTGTAGCCTCTATCATAACAACTTCTTGTGATCTTGCCAGAGCTCTCAAGATAGGCAGGACTGGGCTATTTGCATTGAAGTGGGGGGGAGTGCTATTGTTTTTAGCAGGAGCATGGTGTTTCAGGAGGTAGCACTCTTCCCTTGTAAAGTACTGAATGCTTGTCCCAGCTTGCCACTAAGGGATCTGCTCTGCAAAAGCTTGCAACTTTCAGAGAAGCTGTGTATCTGAGGTCTTGGCTGTTGACTTCAATATTCCCACTACATTTTAGCACAGGTAGAGTAGTTAGAGCCAGCCATTCTAAACACCATTTGAAGCTTTAATTTGTTATGTATGCGCTTGGTACTGACTTCTAAAATATAAGTGCATCACTGCTGCACTATGAGCTTACCATGTGAAGAGTATATCTAATGACAGTGATTTAGGAAAAATGTCTATGCACTGACAATTAGCAGGGGTAAACGCCATGACCAAGCCATACCAGTCCACCCTGTCATACCACTTTTGAGAAATTCAGTGCTTCGAAGCTGCTTTGTGCATGAGGACCCCTCGTTGCAGCAGCATAGTGGCCTCCCTGCAAGAGAGCTCAGCGGGGGTGTTTGCCTGTACCTTTTGCTTCCTTCAGCACTCCCACCCAGGAGCAGGCTTAATTAGGCCCATAATTTTGAGAGAACTGAGTAAGGTAAAAAGGTTATTTTCTAGCTACTGAGCAAAATGTTCTACCCACTTACCAAAATGTTTTTCTTTGTAGACTGTCTCAGAGATCAGTATTGCTACAGCAGATGGAGAATCATCTAGGAAACAAGGAGACTGAAAAGACATGGCAAGCACAAGCAGCTGATGCAGCTTATAAAAGAAATGCAGCACTTTTAAATGTAAGTTTCTGTGACTACCAGAAGTCACACGGTAAAACAGAGGCATTTCATAGACTTGAGGACAGAAATGTTTGCATTTTAAGTTTCAGGTGAGTTTTAGTACCTTAAAGTCCCCTTCTGGAACTTGTGCAGTTATTTCATAACTCTTCATAACCTGGGAGCATCACTAACTTCTGCCTTGCCTGTGAAAGCCTTGGTGCCAAAGGCTGCCATTTTACTTCCAGCATGAATGGAGCTATAAGACTAGTATTTTTTTGTCAGTCAAAAGTACTCCAGCAACTGCTCTGTCCTAAGTTAAGGCTGACTAGACTCACAGTAGCCTTTAACCATGATTTAAGATACTGCGTTATGATTAGAGACAGCGTTGAACAATCCATACGCTGGCAGCCTATATTAGGAATTGTCAGCTCATTATGGGTGAATACTAAATTAACCTGTGGTGAAAAAAGTCCTGTGTGGGTCTGACAAAGTGGGCTGTTGCTTGAGAAAGCTTATGCATTTCTGGATGAGTTAGTCTGTAACTCAAGATGCCACCCTGCCCTGCCATCTGCTTGACTTCAGACTAATGTGGCTAACTACCTCCCTCTCCTGAAAGAAGGATGGGGTTATTTCAAGAGGCAGTCTTGTATCAGGTGTTGCTGGCCCCCACTGTAGGGGATACATCAGTGACAGTAGTGTTTCTGCCCTAGATAATTTCCGATAAGACCTGGCCAATATTTGTGAATTTAATGAAAGTTTGAGGGCTCTGTATCACCTAGAGAGCCTTTCAGGAAAAAAAATGCAAACTAGAATGACTGACATTATCCAGACAAGTGCCCAAATAATTTGTCTGGTAGCAAAGACCTCTGTTTGCAGAGTAGCAGAGTGTCTAAGGTACATAAAATGTAAAGTGTATATGAGTAATCTTCAGGGTCTGGTGACTGATACACCTCATACTAAATTCTTGTAATGACTAGGTGGTGCAGCAGATGCTTCTTAGATTCTTTCCAGAGGTATTTCAGTTGTGTGGAGTTCCCTATCCTACCTGAGGTTTCTTCCACAGCTGTACGCCCAGTCTGACAAGGTCTTTCTTCACAAAGTTTGCTGCAACACGTCTAACCAGTTATGTGGAGCAAACTAAGTTATTAGAAAGTCATCCATTTTTTGGTTTCTTTTAGTACAGAATCGGTAGACTTTATTGTAGAAACAACCATTTAAAAAAATGAGTCTTTCACTCTGGGAAGATTTAAAACACTAGCAATATGTCAAGACCTATATGATATGATACAAAGTGGTCCTCTGTCTATTATATATCTGTTCTGTATCCATTGGGGATGTCTGCCTGACAGCCAAATTCACCTCTTCTATGCACCTTTGTTAAGCTACGTTACTTAGATTCAATCTCAAGACCAGAATCAACCCTTGGCTGATGACACGGTCTTTCCTTCCAGTTAGAAGTGTTTTGTTTTTTAAATGTTTCTGATTGTTTAAAAAAAAGATTGTGTCCTTCCTTTCTTTCCTTTCTGAATCTAAAACATAATAAAGGCACACAAATATTTATCCTTGCCCTTCCATTCTGCTTGTTGTTTTTCTACTATGTTTTGCCTTATCTTGTTTAGTGACACTGTGTATTTGTTTTATAGAGACATCCCTGAAGCATTTTAGTTTCCAAGGGTAGAAACCTGTCACTGTTATCTTTGGAAATGGGAAAATTATTTCTCTTTAATCATTATTATTATCAAAACATGTTATGACAGATTACCCACTCTGCTCTTTTCGGAGTTGAGGTTTCTGTAACCTTCCTGCACATTTTTCAGTTGGGTACAAATAGAAATATTTCTGATTCTCCCTCAAGATGAGTAGGCAATTGAAGATGCATGTTTGTGCTGAAGAAAGGGTCTGCATATGATCCTGCATAAGCAGGTGTGTAAGGTAATGCTGAGGGATTGCAGGACCAGTGGCACCCCAGAGCCCCTCTAGCTGCTATGGAGGTGGTGTGGTACTGTTTTATTAGATGGGATGGGGGGTTTTTTTGCTTTTATAGACCCTTTGCATTCCATTGCTCTAAGCCTGAACACACAGGCTTTGTGCCAGCGCTGCAAATTTTATCTCTTGGATTCTCTCCGAATAAGTATCCTTTTTCATAGGCATTTTAGGAACACAGTCCAAATGAGCACTTGCTTTGTGACAAGCTTAATAAAATTGGGTTATATTAGTGCATGCTAAAACAAAAGATTATTATAAGAGTAAATGTTCATGATATCTTAAACCTATAGCAAAAATATTTACTGACTTGCAGTTATGCATTTGCCATCTCCTATTGCATCCCTCAGAATAGTTTCTCTTAAGTGCCAAAAACATTAGTGTTCACAAAAGAAATAAAAGCATAATATACCCTTGAGAACAAATAGTCTGGCAGGACAAAGCAGCATAAAAAGTCTAGTTCTATTAATTTTATACTAGCTTTAACAAGCATGCAATAGTGCAGATGCTTTCTGATAACAAAATAAAACAGGAAAGAGATCCGCATAGAATAATATATGAGAACCTTGAAAACAAGGCTCAGATTTATGTGCCAGCTTCAGAATATTGTTCCTGATACCAAGCACTGTACATTTCACAGTTACCATGTGGGGAGTTGTTGATTTGGCCTACTCAAAAACACACGGACGTGATGAAGTGTTATTTTTTATTTGCATTTTTCCCTAGGTTTAAACAAAATTAATTCACTTGTGTTGAGCTTTGTGAGCATGGAGAAAAGGCATTTACCTTTTCTACGTCAGATGAAATTATGTGCTCAGTCACCTCCAAAATGGATGCAGCCGAAAACTTCAAATTTAGCTTGTGCTATGTATATTAAGCAAGAAAAAAAAAAATTTGAAACAGATTACTTTAAAGTAATCAATGTTGAATTCAGAACTTTCACAAAATCATCAACATAATTTTTCTAACCTACTTAAAAGGGGCATTGTTAGGATATTTTTTATTAAAGCACATTTCCTTTTCTATTTCCATTAAGACCATATCTTATTAACAGGACACATGGCCAATCTGTCTTAGTTTGTGCGAGTAAATAAAAAAAAAGAAGCAATGAAATTTAATAATAAACCAAGGTGATGTTGGCTTGTTATTTTCTAGTTTTTATATTTCAGAAGAGTGTTGGAAAGTTTCCTTGGTGAATGCTGTGTGCATAATGCTTGTCTCTGAAAACTGAGCCACATTGCCCACATATAATATTTTCATTGCTTGTTATTTGTAGCCTTAATGTATCACTATACCATAAAATACAGGATGTGGGATGTAGCAAAGTTAGCATTTAGCAAAAAATTTGGATCAGGCTCTACTCTCATTTACAGTGGTATAAATCTAGGGTGACTGGTTTAAATGGAATTTTTCCAGGGTCTTACCAGTGTTAGTGACAGCTGAATTTGGCCCCTTAAAAGTAATGCATGTGTAATGACTTCCATTTTACCTCAGGGAAAGGATTTAAACATTTTTTCTTCCTGCCCTGACAGTTGCAACCAAAGTGTTTATAAATAGACAACTGCTTACTATCCTAGATTCACTTTCCAAAGATATTTGAACTGCTGGCTTGAAATGAGAGGTTTAGAAAGGAGAAATCCACAACCCCATATTTAAAAAAAGCCCAAACTGGCAGATCCACCTCCTACCCATGAGCAACATGCAAAGGTCCCACCTGATCTCTTAGTTGTCTCCATTTTTTATTTGTCCCTTCCTTCCCTCCCCCCCCACCCCAAGGCACGCTGCACCTTCCAGCACAATTTATTTCACTGTCATTAAATCAGTATTCTGAATGACAATCGACTGTAAAATACGCAAACTGGAGTGGAGCAACAAGAAGACACATCTGATATCTAGGCCATGCCAATGTGACCTTCTTCACTAAGCATATCTCTACAACTGGTGTTTCTGTTGCCTAAAAGTAATTTGTTTCCTACATCTCTGGAAAAATTAGATGCTGGTAAATACAAAAATAGTGAAGTTGGCCTGGATTAGTCCTTCTTATGAAAATACCTTTAGGAGAATGTTATAGCGGAGATAATTTCTGTGAGGGAAAGGCGAAAATGTGCTGTGATATAACAGCCCAGATAGATGGGAGTAAATGACTGATCTAACTTTTCACCCCCATCCCTGTTTATAAGGGGGTTTTTTTGGTTTTGGTTTTGGTTTCTTGGGCTTAGGTTGTGCTACTCATGATTTGGGAATGGGAAGCATCAGTCTGAATTCCTTTAGTCTATGCTTACTACCCATTGCAGGGTTTAAATGAGCAAGCACCTTATGCCATCCTTCTACTGCCATCCAGTAGCTATCTCAAACCAGTACTAGGCTTACTGATGATACATGAGAAAGAAAAAAAAAGGGATTGGAAGATGATTGCAATCCTGTTATCTTCCATCTACGCACAATATGCTTATGTTATAAAAAGTCCTTTTTCAGATATATGGGGAGCCAGATGAAAAGCAAGGGCAACATTGGACCCCTGCTAAACCAGATGAGAC